TTTCTTTTCTTTGATGAACATGAATAATCAAATGAGATGATCTAATTAAAATATAATTGTAAATTTTAAAATATTACATCATAAATACTATCAAATAGCTTTTAATATTATTTGATAAAATATTATTAATAATTATAAAAGAATTATAAATAATTAGATTATAAAAATAAAATAGACTAATTTTTTTTAACATTTAAATTTTGTTCTATTTATCCAACCCATAATAAAATAAAATTTTTATAAAACCTTTATATGCCCTTTCTACAGTAATGTATTGAGGTCATGCTAGCGAGTTACTTCATTAAAATTAAAAATCAATCGTTGAAAAATTTAGATAATCTAGAAGTTCAACTTGACTTAGGAGCTAAAACAGAACACCAAAAAACACTTAAGGTGAATAACTTATCAAATTCCACTTGCGGCGCTCTACCTCAAAAATTTTTTACATTTTTTCTAGAATTTAATTATAATAATTTTTAATTGAACAATGTATTTAAATGAAATCAGTACGCAAAAACTATTATTTTATTAAATTAGTTGCAAGGTTTATAAACTGCTACTGAGATGGAGAAACAAAAGATTATTAATTTTTTATTCATCTTTATTACTTGCTGAATTATCACTATACAATATATTATTTATTAACTAAAATAAATTAATATATTTAGGAAATTAGAATATTCATTTTCAATGTATAATTTATAATTTAGGTTAATATTATTGAATGAATTAAGTGTTAGATTATTTTACACATATCACAAAATAGTTTGCACACATATATAAAGCAAAATATCATATATTCAAGTAGAGTTTGTTCTATCTCTATTATTATAAATTATCTTCTCAATGAATTCATAACCAAATTTTCCTAAGAGGGGAAGACCTGTGGCTTCTTAAGAAAATGTCATTTCAGGCCAACTATTAATTTCTAAAACAACCATTCCATTCTTCATAGAATCCAAAATATCAACCCCTCCAATAGTCAAATGGGGATCAATAGCAGCACAAGCTTTTTCAGCAATTTAAAAATATTCACATTTTTTATCAGAATCCATTTTAGATTCAATTGTGAAGTCATCACTATATCCATTAGATTTGAAATCCTAGATTTAAATATTAATAATTACCACATTATCTTAAAATTCAGTGACAGAAACAGCCTTACCCCCAATCACAAGAACTCTAATTGATCTTCCTATTGTATCATCAACAAAATCTTGTATAATGGCTTATTCTCCATTCCACATGGACTTACAAAATAGTTCCATACTTTAGTTATGATTTATTGATAGTTTAACTCCAGTCCCTTCATATCCTAATACTTCTTTTATGATAGATTTGTTATTAAATCTTCTAAGATTTTCTTTAAAGGTATTTAGCGAGAAAGAGGCTCCACATCTAGGTAATCTCTGTGGAAGGTTGATGAAGTGTAATTTTTTTAGCAGAATGTGCAGCAAAATTAAAATACATGTAATCTTAGTAATGTTTTGGAGACATGTATCCATATGCTAAAAATGCATCAAATTATATTTATTCTCCTTTTCTAAAGAATGATATTTCCTATAATAAATTATTATTATACATTTCCAATAATAACACTTAATTCTTCAAGTTCTGTGATGATTAAATTTACTTTTAATTTTTAGAAAGTTTCAATTATAAGTTAATCCATCATACCATAAAATATTGGGTCTGGATTGATCATAAAGAGAATGGTTATTTTTTCGTATGACATAGAAGATAAGAATGTATAATTTTATTAGATATTTTATTGTTCTATTTTCTGATATGATTTTAGGTTAAACTAATCAAATGTTCATGAATCACTTAATAAATTTTATTAAATAAAAAAATCACCATTATTTATATATTCTACCAGAATTGGTGAATATTATCATTTAACCCCATTCAATTAAAAAACACTAAATTATATATATGTTTATTAAGTGCAAATGACTTTTTTTATATTGAAAGCACACCAAATAAACTTCAGTTAGAAACAGATATGAGTATTCTTAAATACATAAATTTAGAAACTAAAGAATTATATTTAATGATCATTAAATTAGGATGTATTAAAAATTAGGAGAAAACAAATTCATAAAAAATATATATATCTAGATTAATTAATCTAGATATATAAATCTCCTTAAATAAATAATCAGATATTAAAACATGGTTCAAATCTATAAAGATATCTTCTTAAAAATTAGCTAAATATTTAAATATTTAAAAATTTATATTTTTGGTTCTATCTAAGGTGTTTGGAAATTGATTAAAAAATTATTGAAGCAGAAACATATAGATTTGCAGTTGATTATCGAAATTTAAAGTTTTTCTCTCTATAGCTTAAATCAAGTAATCAGTCTTTGATGATTGTAATTTATGATATAAATTGAAAGAAAAAATAAAGATCGGGTATAAATCGAAGCATCAAAGATTTTTAAATTGCAGAGCTTTTTCGATTAGATCAATATTTCAAAAGTACTTTATAGGAAATAACAATTAATCTTAATTGAAAAATTGATTATTTTACTTAAAGTTCTATTTTTCCGTCAATATTATGAGAAATTAAAAATAAGAAATAATTATATTGATGGATTAGATAGGTTTTATAATAATTATGATTTGATATTACAAAAATAGCATTACAATTACATTATTCAATAAAGTGACTTTCTTGCATAAAAAAGTATATATGGACTGCTACTACCATCTGTATCATATCTTTATTGCTTTATATCAATTTCTCTAACATCAGAATCATTATATCGATACCATTTTTAATTATATGGATTCTTACTATCACTTTATTAATATATAAATAATAATTACGCTGTGTAGTGTCCTCCATACAAAGTTCCACTATGATTTACTATTCCACATAAAGAATATTAGCAGTTTTTGGTAGACTAGTCGACTAAAATTAAGAATGTCTTACGTGAATCCTAAATGAATTTTGTCATATCTAGTTCTAATGGAAATTTGACTCTATGATTTAATTTGTCACTTGAAAATCTTCTATAATCAAATCTTTTGATATGAAACATTAAAATATGAGGTAATCTCCAAATTGTAAATTTGCGTTTTACTTTTTAATGCTTTTTGCTTCAACATACAATAACGATAAATTAAATACCATTTTGAACAATAATAATCATCTATTGTTTCTTCTATTACATATTTATCTAATAATCTATCTAAATCCATATCTTCCAATATTTTAAATGCTCTTGTAAATGCTAAGGATGTATCTTAGAAAGTGTCGAATGCATATGAACTATTGCTACAAATACAACATTTAATAGAATGTAAGAGTTATCCTTAAAAATAATCTAGAACTAAACTATTTTCTCTGCTTTTTGAATAATCCCACCATTCTTTACTCTAAAATATAATAAAAATAAGTATTACTAAATCTTATAATGTTCTTCCATTAAGATTATCATTCATTTCTTTATAAAAGGGTTTGTTCTTTACTCTATTTAAGCCAAGACTTAGACCATCTAAAAGTCCAACCAAAAATTCTTGGGCATCTTATTGAGCATAACCTTTAAAACAAGGCATTACAATTTCTATTAAAAATAAACAAAAAAGAGTTACCAACTGCTGATTTGATTCCATATGGAGCAATAGATTGAAAATTGGGAGTGTTTCTTATAGTGGCTACTAATTTACTGTACTCATTGGGAACAGAGCTGTTTTTTGAATTTAAGTCTTTTAAGTAGTCACCATTTAAAAAATGTTCATTAAAAGCAGGAACATTGAGTAAACATTGCAAAACTGAATTCCTGAATGTAATTTAATATAATTACATGAAGCATGTATTGCCAATATTTCTTAAACCGCATATGCCTTTGCTGACATTAATCATAGATTTTTATTAATATTATTCTGGTTGAGATTATGTCATAGTTGAAATTGTTGAAGGGGTCTTTTGAGTAGTTGATAGGGATGTTGTCATACCACTTTATTATTATTAATAATTGATTTAAGAAGGATATTGTTTTTGATTGTAATATTCAATTGCACTTGTCTAGTCATATAAATAATAACAACTTACTTATTATGATTAGGTATTTAATGTGGATGTTCCATATGAGGAGAAAGGATAATTGGATTTGATTTCTTGAGTGGGTGTTGACTAGGTTTTATTAAGTAATAATGGATAATTGGGCAACACTTATTATTACGTTTTATCTTTGATTGTACTTGGTGGTCTTTGATTATTAGTAAATATATTTTGTCTCATTATTTAATTAATATAAAATGCATGATTTAGATTTTGAGCAATTTTAGTGATATATACAATAGGAATATCATCAATGTTATAAGCATGATTTGATATTTATTGATAAGGAAAAAGATCGCAGATATGAGAAATATATAAATAAATAAAAATAGAGAGTCATAAAGAGAGAAAAAAAGAAAAAAATGTAGTAAAAACAAGAAGAATGAGATAATGGATAATAAAATCATTATTAATTAATAAGGTAGAAAATCAAAATCAGCAACTAAATCATCTAAGAAAAAAAAGAATAAAGAAAGATAAGGATAGAGAAAAAGAAAAAGAAAAAGAATAATAATAATAAATATAATTCTCATAATTTATGGAAAGACAATTAAATTTCCTTAACTTTGGTTAACTATTCCATTTATCAAAATGAAACTAGTAATGCTATCTCAATTAATAAGACTTATTGAATTATTGCCACGATCAAAATAAATACAATAGTTATTTTGGAATTTGTTCATAGAAAGATGTAATTTGTAACTCAATTAGACAGACACAAAGATTATTTAAGTTGTTTAGTCTTTAGTAAAAAGTAGTTTTCTTGATTTCAGCTTCTGATGACAAAACCATTCTCTCTTGGAAAAAATTAGATTAAATAAGTGGATTTGCTCAGGGTTAAATTTTTAGCATACAGGTTAAATAAAATGTATACTTTTAAATAAAAATGAAAATTAACTTATAAGTGGAAGTTCTGATTAAAGGATTCTAGTATGGGATGTTGATTGTAATCAAAACAGATTAAATTATTTATATCCATTATAATTAACTGCTGGGGATGTTGAAGGTTCAAAAATGAATGAATCTGAAACAATTTTAGTGTCTCTACAAATGTTACAAAATTTGGATCAAGAATTAGTTTTCTAAATAATAATTAATTTATTTGGGTATCAGGTGAGAGAGATAGCTTGGATTGCATATGTGTGTTTTATGAGCATAAGGAAGAATTCTTGAAAAATAATTAAAAGAGGAAATAGTATAAAAAAATAACAAGGAATTTGACTTTCACTAGTTTCAAATTTTTTATAATCAAGAGAAAAAAATAATAATTGTTTAAAATAAATTAAGAATATATGTACTAAAAGTATATACAAATGATGAATTGAAAATTGCAGGGACGATTACTTGAAATCTACTCTAATATTCGAATCATTAACTAATGATGGACTTTTCTTGATTTATTGGGACGCTAATGGAACTGATGCTGGAGGTGGTTAATACTTTATTTATAAAATTTGAATTTGGTTTATCTATTTAAAATTGTTATTTTCATTCAATTTTTACTAATTTTGTTGATGAAATAATAATCTATCTATCTTATTTTTGTCAACATATTGACTAAAATAAAGATTTAAAATCTTTTTACCCTTTTATCGAATTAAAAACTTCTAAAATTCTTTAAAATAATCACTTTATATAAATACTTGTTGGTTAATTCTAATATTGATTGTTTTTATATTTAGACATATTTCTCTATCTTAATTTCTAGCTACATATTTAATTATATATTACAATGGTGATGGCTGATTACATATTTATAGAAAGCGAAACCCTCCTGTATTCTATTGATGTGTTTTACTTATTTGATATTATGAACAGTTTGGTTGTATGGGGTGCATAACTTTATTATTAATATGATTTTCTAATTTTGGATTTGAAGTTTGGTTTTTATAGACTAAATAGAAAAGTAATAGTGAATGCTACTTCTATTATTAGTTTATTTTAGTATTTATTCAATTCAGTAGTTAATTCGATCTCTTTTCCAAATCTATAAGGTCTGATAAAATTTCGGTTTTCAATATTTAAGTTGAAATGGCATGACAAAAGTTAGCGACTTTTTCACATCATTTCAAATATTGAGATGGTTAACTGATTTCTGAATACAGTTATTGGCTCATTTGATTGATTTTATTTAAGTGCTAGGTAAGGTTTTGTCAGTAAGAATTATCCATATTGTTATTAATGAAAGTATTATTCATTCAAGAATTTGTATAAAAAGAAAATTATATTCATGTATTTCTAAGATTCAAAGTGAAATTGTAAAGTGAATGAATGAAAAAAATTTTTTGGTAAATCAGTTTAAATTCAAAAAGCTTAAATTAATAAATTATATTTTATTGGATAATTATTATTAATTTTTATTTTATCATATCTCATTCCATTACTCTTTGATATCTTATAAAGCTTATTTTTACCCTTCTTTTTCTATTGAAAATTCATCATTTATCAGTTTCTCAATATATTCAAATTCAGTCATTGTTTACGGAATACGATTTAGTCTTTTACCCAATACCATTAACTCATTTATTAATATTTTGCTTTTTAATTTATGATACTACAGAGATATATTTTTTTCTTTTTCGAAATTATCAACATCAGGTCGAATTTCATTCGTGTTGTATTAGGTTTCATAACGAAAACTTTCAGATTTATGATCTTTCCAACTACATTTACCTTGACAGATTGTGCATTAGCCATCGTTCATTACAGAACAAAATATCTTTCCATTTTTATAGCATGGATAATGACAGGTATTCTTGCAAACTAAGCAATTTTCAGCATATTCTCCTTAATTTAAATTTATCTCAACTATTTCTTCAAAAGTAAAAATTAAAGTTATAGGTTAAGTTTTTTTTATTTTATCAATTTCATCGAGCTGCTTTTCTAAAAATTGATGCCACTTTAATCTACAGTTTTCTTCATTAATCTTTTATTGTTTCAATAATTGTTCAACCATCTTTTTTTTTTTCATGTAAGTCTTCAAAATCATATATGTATTTAAGGAAAATAATTAGAATTTCTTTTAAAAATGAGAAATTTTTTTTATAAATATCCTTCATATTATAAAACATATAAATTCTGATTTGATTTGCTCTTAAGCTATCTTTATTTATAATTTTAATTTTGGTAAAATTGAGCTATCATAATATAATATAAATGATTTCTAAATAACCTCTATTTTGATTTATAATTTAACAAGCAGGTTTAATTTTTAAAATTGGTTGGGATAAATAATATATAAAGGTCTATCTGCTGTCATAAACTAATTAAAATTCTATATTTGTAATAATTAGTATGTTTTGTTGTTGTTTTCATCATGATAAAATAAAACTTGAATAGATTAATGTTTCAATCAAAAAAGTAAGAACATGTTTATTAAATTCAATTGAATTAGATAGAAACACTGAATAAATTACAAGAAAAAAATGTTTAAAATAGTTTTCAAAAAAAATGTTTTCCTAAGATCCGACCTTGTTATGATATGGTTGGGGTTGTAGGAAAAAGTCCAAAAATGCACAAAATGAAATGAAATTTCAGTTGGGTTCCTAATTATACCCTGACCCCCTATAAGCTTTGAGATATTTTTGGTGATTTTTTATAAAATTTGGTTCCTTTTGGAAAAACAAAAAGGGAAAATTTTTATATATAGGTGATCAATTTTCGAAAAAAAGTAAATAATACATATACAAAAATCAAAGGGAAAATAGATAAAATTTTATTTAATTTTTGATATTTTATTAAATTTCAAAAGAAAGTATAGAATTTTTTAAATATTTTTTACATATCTTATATATTTTTAGATATTTTAGTGATTTTGCAAAATATGGGAAAATTGAAATTATGGATTCAGAAATAAGAGAGAGGTAGAAAGAAAAATAGTTGAAATAGAAGGAGAGTTAGAAGATGATTTAGTTTAGAATCCAATAAAGAGAATTTTTCTTATAAAAAATTTGATGGATTTCAATTTAATAGATAATGCAAGAAAATCATTTAATATTAATAAAAGATCAATTTACACCCTTTGATGATATAATTAGGATTAAATGTTTAAAGAATCCTAAATATTATACAATCTCCTAATCTCTCTTTAGATTGTTTATCTGGTTAGATGTCTCTTAAACATAATCCCTTACATGTCCATGTATCATAAAAGTTATTAAATAAAAACAAATATTTGAACTGAATCAGAAAAGGTATGGTTAATAAAAATGAAAGTGATTTTATTATTGTATTTAAATAATGGGAAGCGTATTAATAACAACAGAAAATTCTGAAATAAAGTTTAAAGTTATTTCATTATAAAAAGTCAATTTGTGAGCATAATTAAATGATATAGTAATATATAATAATAAATATACAAAGTAAAGAGTTCATTTTTATAGTTTGATTATGTCTAAGGTTGAATTTTTATTGAACTTCTTTAAGTTTTCTAGATTAGGAAATAGTTTATCAAAATTCTTGGCTAAATTTAATACTTTATTTGATAATTCTATAGTTTCATCCTTATCGACATTAAGTACTTATAAAGTTTAAGAAATCTAATAAATAATAATAATATATAATTACAATATCATCACTAGATTCTTGACATAATAGATTGCATCCAATTATTATACATGCTGCTGATAATGATGAATAATTATATTAACTAATTAGTTCATAATCGTATAAAACTATTTTAGCTAAGTAGATAACAAGTTAATGCATTTTTTAATACTAGTTGATTAGTTATAAGGTCATTGAAATGATTTCTGAAAGAGTTGTTCCAACAAATTTAAAATCTAATGCTTATGCTATTTAACATTCCTTTTCTCTAATTTCATCTTTAGATAATTTTTTGTGTGCTATCTTTTCATGCACTATTTATAACTTTACAGGATAAATTTCTTCAAATTTACTGGCAATAAACATGCAAGTCACACCAATTAGATGTAAATCTTATGGAACATGTTATTTAGTTGTTAAATGTAGAAATGTATCCATCAATCTTACAGCCATAAAAAAGGTCTAATCTTTACATTTATATGATGTTAACACTTCAACCATCCAATCAACCATTTTAGCTCTTAAATTATTACTTATAGTATGCTTTTTTAAAAACTCAAACTTTTAAATAGAATCATCTTTCTAATAATTTATAAGAATATTATCTCCATAAAGATAAATTAATTTATTTTATGGATTTTTCTATTCTTTATTTAAATAGTCTTGGTTACATTAACTAATAGAAGTAGTCTATCTGACTGTGATTGGGGAAAACTATAAATGACATAATTTCTTACAATTTATTCAGTTGTAGAAATAGTTGTTTTTTATTTAACTTCTGGACGATAATGAAGACTTGATACATTTGGGTTTCTTTGTGTTAAATAGTTTTATTATTAAGGCTGTTGTTTGATATCTATGCTCTTGAATTCAATTTCTATAAATCATTATCAATATATATTACTTGGTTATCTATTTAGCAAAGTTAATGAGACTAATTAAGTAAATGATTTTTAATTAGTTCTTTTGTCAATATTATTAGAAACTTCAGCTTGGTTCTCCTTTTCAAATATACGTCTGGTAGTATCTTTCATTGTTGTATAATTATGTTTAACAGATAAATAATTAATGAAATTTATTAATAAACTTATTTTAGTATTTATTATATGAATATGAAATAGTTCATAAATTATGATAATAAATTATAATTTAAAATATGTTTAAAGTTATATCATATTCATGTATTAAATCATCAAATTTATAAAAATCAATGATGAATAGTAATATCATGCAGTTTATTAGAATATCATATTAACATAATTATATAATCGACATAATGTCCATATATTAAAATCTACAATATTCTTCTACGAATGAATGAATCCGAAATCAAGGATTAATCATAAGAGTTGATTATTAATAACCAAAAATCTTGGCATCATACTAATATTAGATAGTTAGCTTTGATCTTAGCATGTCTATTTTAATTTAGAAGCTACTTTAGCACAGATTAGTATCGTATTAGCTTTATTAGATTAATTTTGTAATAATAGAGATAATGTAGAAGCTAAAATTGAAGGAGATAAAATAACATTAAGTGATATCAAAGAGTTTAAATTAGATTTTCATCTTCTTACTCTCACATTTACATTTATTATATCATATGAGTCAAAATTAAGCACATAATATTTACAGTATACCATATTATACGGCTTCATTCTTTACTCCTGTCTTTGGATTTGTTATTGACAAATTTGGTACAAATTGACCCTTACTAATTTATTTATTCATATTTTATATAAATTAATCTCAAGAAAATAAATAAATAAATCTAAGTGGAGAAGAACTCATTTATTAGTTTTATGTGGTTATTTACTTGTATTAATGAATATTATTTTTATAATGATTACTTGTGATTCATAAAATGCATGTCTTACTGCACTAATCTTCGGATAAATTTTAAATGGGGTCTATTACTCTCTTTATGCTGCAGTTATGTGGCCTTGTGTTCCTTTATGTGTGCCAGAAAGAGCTGCTGGAACAGCATTTGGAGTTGTAAATGCTGTTTAGAATATTGGATTAACAGTATTTCCAGTTATTGTAGGCCATTTAATATCAGATGAAACTTCATAGACATATGTTATTATTTTAGGCAGCAGTGCTATTATTGGATTAATTAGTAATATTGGATTATGGTTTGTTGATAAACAAAATGGGAGTAAAATAGCCAAGACTAGTCTCAAAGATAATTCTTAAGTTTAAGATTTAAATTGCAACAGGAATATGATTATCCAATTTCTGAACCTAAACTAGAGTGAAATATTTTATAATACATAATTTATAAATTATAACTCAAATATTCCTTAATGATTAAGATAGTTGGAATTTATGTTAACTAATTACTTATCTATTTAATTCTTAATACCATTCTTCTAACAATGCTTATGAAGTTANTGAGACTAATTAAGTAAATGATTTTTAATTAGTTCTTTTGTCAATATTATTAGAAACTTCAGCTTGGTTCTCCTTTTCAAATATACGTCTGGTAGTATCTTTCATTGTTGTATAATTATGTTTAACAGATAAATAATTAATGAAATTTATTAATAAACTTATTTTAGTATTTATTATATGAATATGAAATAGTTCATAAATTATGATAATAAATTATAATTTAAAATATGTTTAAAGTTATATCATATTCATGTATTAAATCATCAAATTTATAAAAATCAATGATGAATAGTAATATCATGCAGTTTATTAGAATATCATATTAACATAATTATATAATCGACATAATGTCCATATATTAAAATCTACAATATTCTTCTACGAATGAATGAATCCGAAATCAAGGATTAATCATAAGAGTTGATTATTAATAACCAAAAATCTTGGCATCATACTAATATTAGATAGTTAGCTTTGATCTTAGCATGTCTATTTTAATTTAGAAGCTACTTTAGCACAGATTAGTATCGTATTAGCTTTATTAGATTAATTTTGTAATAATAGAGATAATGTAGAAGCTAAAATTGAAGGAGATAAAATAACATTAAGTGATATCAAAGAGTTTAAATTAGATTTTCATCTTCTTACTCTCACATTTACATTTATTATATCATATGAGTCAAAATTAAGCACATAATATTTACAGTATACCATATTATACGGCTTCATTCTTTACTCCTGTCTTTGGATTTGTTATTGACAAATTTGGTACAAATTGACCCTTACTAATTTATTTATTCATATTTTATATAAATTAATCTCAAGAAAATAAATAAATAAATCTAAGTGGAGAAGAACTCATTTATTAGTTTTATGTGGTTATTTACTTGTATTAATGAATATTATTTTTATAATGATTACTTGTGATTCATAAAATGCATGTCTTACTGCACTAATCTTCGGATAAATTTTAAATGGGGTCTATTACTCTCTTTATGCTGCAGTTATGTGGCCTTGTGTTCCTTTATGTGTGCCAGAAAGAGCTGCTGGAACAGCATTTGGAGTTGTAAATGCTGTTTAGAATATTGGATTAACAGTATTTCCAGTTATTGTAGGCCATTTAATATCAGATGAAACTTCATAGACATATGTTATTATTTTAGGCAGCAGTGCTATTATTGGATTAATTAGTAATATTGGATTATGGTTTGTTGATAAACAAAATGGGAGTAAAATAGCCAAGACTAGTCTCAAAGATAATTCTTAAGTTTAAGATTTAAATTGCAACAGGAATATGATTATCCAATTTCTGAACCTAAACTAGAGTGAAATATTTTATAATACATAATTTATAAATTATAACTCAAATATTCCTTAATGATTAAGATAGTTGGAATTTATGTTAACTAATTACTTATCTATTTAATTCTTAATACCATTCTTCTAACAATGCTTATGAAGTTACATTAAAAATGTATTCATAATCTCTATATTTGATCTTAAGACAATTTGGTTTACATTTCAAAGGATTTTTAATTATAATTGCATCTGCACATGGGACAAATAGGATTGGATGCATATCTCCAGCTGATTTAAATAATAATAGTCCCACATCTGTCATTAATGCAAAGAATTCAACCCAATCCTAAAATCCAAAGAGTGTTTTCTATTGCATTTACAAAAATCCTTATTTTTGTGAAACTTTGAAAGATGCTTATTTTCCACTTCCATCATACAATCCATTCCCAATTTCATTTAAATTTTTAGGATGAGTGTAATTTTTATACTAGATCTAAAAGTTTTATTATTACTCTATCTTTTTTTATAATTTCTTTAATATATTGATTATCTTTTAATCCACAATATTCTTTTTTAAAATAACTAAATTCATCAATTTATTCAATATTATTGATTCGAGTACTATCTGTATTTTAAATGATACTCTAAAACTCAGACTATATAGTTTCATTAACCTTCTAATATATATCTTCTTAATTAACTAAATCATTAACCAAAGAGAATGACATTCTACTTAAAGAGTACTTTGTTGTTATTGTTGAAAAAAATCTAATTTAAGTTCATATTCTGCTATTTGTTTCATTTATTCTATTAATAAATCTTAGGATTATGCCATTTTATTATTTAATTGAATCTAGTTTTAGATTTCTTATTTTATAAGATCTAGTTATTTTTAATCATTGTTCATTCTTTAAATTCATTTTTCATGATCATCAATAATTAATAATAACTACTAATTATTTTCATTTAGTCTCTTATTCTCGGAAATTAGATAAGTATTATAATTATTTAAGAAATATAACTCCAATTATAACGTTTTTATGTGAGATTCCAATTAGGAAAGTTGTTGATTATGGTATTCTTCAGAATCAAGCTACTTCTTTATGGAATTATAATTTTTTTATAACTCATATATTTATGAACTATATTTCTGATTCTCATTTATTAATTACTATTTATGAATGCATAGATTATCAATTTGTTCTTGTAAATCTTTACATAATATTTCTACTTCATCAATATTAATCTATTATTCTTTTATTACTTCTGATTAAGTTATTAATAATTTTGCAATTTACATAATATTTTCTTATTCAGTATATTCTTCTAATTATAATAGAATTTTCATTGAGGTTTCAATTTCTTTNATAAACAAAATGGGAGTAAAATAGCCAAGACTAGTCTCAAAGATAATTCTTAAGTTTAAGATTTAAATTGCAACAGGAATATGATTATCCAATTTCTGAACCTAAACTAGAGTGAAATATTTTATAATACATAATTTATAAATTATAACTCAAATATTCCTTAATGATTAAGATAGTTGGAATTTATGTTAACTAATTACTTATCTATTTAATTCTTAATACCATTCTTCTAACAATGCTTATGAAGTTACATTAAAAATGTATTCATAATCTCTATATTTGATCTTAAGACAATTTGGTTTACATTTCAAAGGATTTTTAATTATAATTGCATCTGCACATGGGACAAATAGGATTGGATGCATATCTCCAGCTGATTTAAATAATAATAGTCCCACATCTGTCATTAATGCAAAGAATTCAACCCAATCCTAAAATCCAAAGAGTGTTTTCTATTGCATTTACAAAAATCCTTATTTTTGTGAAACTTTGAAAGATGCTTATTTTCCACTTCCATCATACAATCCATTCCCAATTTCATTTAAATTTTTAGGATGAGTGTAATTTTTATACTAGATCTAAAAGTTTTATTATTACTCTATCTTTTTTTATAATTTCTTTAATATATTGATTATCTTTTAATCCACAATATTCTTTTTTAAAATAACTAAATTCATCAATTTATTCAATATTATTGATTCGAGTACTATCTGTATTTTAAATGATACTCTAAAACTCAGACTATATAGTTTCATTAACCTTCTAATATATATCTTCTTAATTAACTAAATCATTAACCAAAGAGAATGACATTCTACTTAAAGAGTACTTTGTTGTTATTGTTGAAAAAAATCTAATTTAAGTTCATATTCTGCTATTTGTTTCATTTATTCTATTAATAAATCTTAGGATTATGCCATTTTATTATTTAATTGAATCTAGTTTTAGATTTCTTATTTTATAAGATCTAGTTATTTTTAATCATTGTTCATTCTTTAAATTCATTTTTCATGATCATCAATAATTAATAATAACTACTAATTATTTTCATTTAGTCTCTTATTCTCGGAAATTAGATAAGTATTATAATTATTTAAGAAATATAACTCCAATTATAACGTTTTTATGTGAGATTCCAATTAGGAAAGTTGTTGATTATGGTATTCTTCAGAATCAAGCTACTTCTTTATGGAATTATAATTTTTTTATAACTCATATATTTATGAACTATATTTCTGATTCTCATTTATTAATTACTATTTATGAATGCATAGATTATCAATTTGTTCTTGTAAATCTTTACATAATATTTCTACTTCATCAATATTAATCTATTATTCTTTTATTACTTCTGATTAAGTTATTAATAATTTTGCAATTTACATAATATTTTCTTATTCAGTATATTCTTCTAATTATAATAGAATTTTCATTGAGGTTTCAATTTCTTTATTGTAACTTAATAACTATTCTTTAAATAATATACTCATTTATTATATGATATTATTATTAATATTAGATATATTTTACAAGCTAAGTATTCATAATTTAAGTTTTTAATTGTTGAAATAATTGAGTAGAATATAGAGAATGGAATTGTTATAAAATTACATATTTCAATTATTATATTTTAATATCAGCATTAAGAGTTTTAGTATTTTTCTAGAAAAATCTAAATTATTTAAAAGGTATCTTAGAACATTACAATCTATAGAAATATTTAATTATTTTGAATGTTTTCAGGAGGTTTCAAAGGATTTAGTGGTTTTCCTTTTGGAGGAGCAGAAGAAGAAAATTCTACTTCTTAACCATAAAATGTTGATAATAAATCATTATATGAATTATTGGGAGTTCAACCAGGTGCCACAACAGATGAAGTTAAGAAAGCTTTTAGAAAAAAAGCAGTACGAGAACATCCAGATAAAGGAGGAGATCCTGAAAAGGTATTTATACCAAAATTAATAATAAGTTTAAAAAATTAACAGAAGCATATGAAATACTATCAAATCCTGAGAAAAAAGACCTTTATGATAGATTTGGAATGGAAGGTGTGAAAAATGGTGGAGGAGGTGGAGATATGTCAGATATATTTAGTCATTTCTTTGGAGGAGGTCGTAAAGAATCAGGTCCTAAAAAAATGAAGGCTAAATTAAGAGAATTAGAAGTGACTTTAGAAGATGTTTATGAAGGAAAGATCATTCATCTTAAACATTAGAGAAAGAGAGTATGTGAAGGATGTGATGGAAAGGGAGGAGCTAACTCAAAATAATGTTCAACTTGTAAAGGAAAAGGAGTTGTTCAAAAATTAACAATGTTAGGTCCAGGAATGTATTCTTAATCAAGTGGACCTTGTTCAGATTGCAGAGGTGAGGGTACCATATTTTCAGAGAAGGATAGATGCAAGAAATGTCATGGAAATAAAGTTATTGATGTAGAAAAGATAGTTGAGATACCTTTAGAGAAAGGTGTACCAGAAGAACATGACTATTAATTTTATGGAGAATCAGATGAATATCCTGGAGTGATGGCTGGAGATTTATATATAAGAATTAGAATAAAGAAACATCCTATGTATGAAAGAAGAGGAGCAGATTTATATACAACTAAAAAGATTACATTATTAGAGGCTTTAACTGGTTGTTAATTTACACTTAAATTCTTAGATGGATCTTATCTTAATATATCAACTAAACCAGGAGAAGTTATATCTCCAAGTATTATATTTTTTATAATATTTTATAGATAGTTTTAGAACTATCAAACATAAAGGTATGCCATTCTATAAAGATGCTATGTAAGAAGGAGATCTTCATATTTAATTTGAAATTGAAATGCCTACTGAATTAAAATAAGAATAAATTAATGTTCTCAAAAATGTATTTATTATCAAAATATATTAAGATTTTACCTAAACCTTCAGAAAGTAAAGTAAAATTTGATCCTAATAAACGAATATATTTAGAAGAATATGATGTTAATAATCTTAATTCAAATCCAGAAGGAGGTAAACGAGATGATGATGAAGAAGAAAGTTAACCAAGAGGATAAAGAGTTCAGTGTGCTTAATAATGAATTTTTATGTTTCTATTATAATTATAATTATTTGCTTAATAAATTATATTTCAATATGAAACAGGCAAGAATTACAAGATTACATCCTATTATAAGTCCTCCTAAAAATGAAGAAGTAAATCAAAATTTAATCAAGTCTAGGCTCCTTTTTTTGATCCATGTCCTAAGTTCTAAACTTTATATCATCCAAAATGTAGTTTAGATAGGATTATTTCTTACTTGTTTTTAAAACAAAATGATATTAATGGTAAAACTTTTAGCTAAAGACGTATTTGTAAATTAGATGCAACTTAAAATTATGATGGCCCTTCAAAATGTAGAGTTCTAAAAATTCATCCTCCTGATGCTAATAAAATTAATGGATGGTAAAATGTTGGAGGAGAAGTTTCATATGATTATGATAATGGATGGAAAACTAGATTGAGTGATATTTGTACAGATATTTAAGAAGATATAAACATTATGAGAAAGGTTTTAATGGATGAAGGTGAATAAAAACATAATTATAAAGCAAGGATAGAATATCTAAGAAGATATATTGAAGAAATTAATAAAATGTACCATATAGTCAATCTTAAAGAAGATATCAAGAAATTACGTGGTATTTATAGAAAAAGTAGAGAGGAAATTAAATCTTATGTTAAATTTAAAGGTACTCGATTTTTTGAAATTGTTCCTTAATTGAAATCAACATCAAAGACACCCACTGTCTTAGATGAATTTAAAGTATTTAAACCACTTTCAGATGAAAAATTTATGGAGAAATAAAAATATCTCGATGATTTATTTAAACATCTGAATAAAAAGAATCAGTAAAAGGAAGTTAAAGAATAATTGGAATAACTTGATTAATTAGATAAAATGTTATAATAATCTGGAGTCAAAATTGATCCCATTTAATCAGATCCTTTTGTTTCAAAGGATGTTACAGTAAATAAAGAAATTGAAAAGAAGTTTGTTTTTGAAGAATTTATTGAAGAATCTAAATAATATGAAGATGAATAAGAAGAATAGAAAGATGAAATAAATGAAGAAACTGAAAATACAAAAGGAAATAATTAAAGACCTAAAAGAGCTTTTAGCTAAATAATTTCAAGCAAATAATAAGATAAAAAAAGTGCTGCTTAAGAATTCAATTCTTAACATTACTTATTTGAAGTTAAAGATGTGAATTCATTTGGTTAACAAATTAGATTGAACAGATTAAATAAAATTATGAATGAAATGTTCAAAGAATAAAGAAACTTTTCTTAAGATCTTTAATAATATTCATATAATCATATAAAGCCTTAAACTGTCTCAAATATCTCGTGCGAAAATCTTCAAAGTCTCAAACATGTAATTTATTAATAATAAAATAGAAACTTGTTTAAAGTAGAGAAAAAGAATTAAAAAGAATGAACAAATCATCAGCTTAAGAAATTGGAAAAAGAAGCTCAGTTCACGTTTCTGCATTTTATTCTACTGCAACCTCTAAGCAATAGCTAAAATTTTATTGATAATTCTAAATTAATTAATAAACTATCATTATATTATATTTTTGTTCAATGATTTCTAATTTATAAAACCAAATATATATATTATTACTATAATTAAAATTGACATGATACAATTTCTTTGTTTCTGGCTCTAAATAAATATCTATTAATTTAAGATGTTAATAATTATAACAATAAAAATATATTATTAAATTTGAAATATGTTAATTAACAATAATACATTAAACTAAAAGATTAAAGTCACAAATAATTAGAATAAAAACAATTAGGAAAGTTATTTTAAATAAGATAAAGAAAATTATTATAACTAATGGGAATTAAAATTAAAATAGAGGGAAACTTAAGTATTTAAATCAGTCATATATAGTTTAGTTAGAATAAAAATATAAAGAATTAAAGAATTACTCTAAAAAATTGAAGATTAAGAGTGATGAACTTTTGAAATAAAAATTAGAATTAGGAGATAAAATAGAAAAATATAATAGACTTTTAGAATAGATAATCTAAGTTTAAATGACAGATAGATAGATCAATAGAACAGGTTCATTAACACCAAATAATAATAAAATAAGAACAAATAAAATTGGAATTAATGAATGTTAACAAAGAGTTGCAAATTTATTACAAAAAATTAGACATACTAGTAAGACTAATTTAAAAACTCAATAATATTCTTATTTTGGAAATAATTCTGATTATGAAGAAATATTATTTAGTAAAAGATAAAATCATTCTACTTCTTTTACAGGAATTATGAATTTAAGTGCATAAGATTAAATAAATTAATAACAGTAATAATTATAACAATAAAAATAATATGAAATTTAATAATAGGAAGAAATTAATTAAAAATCAAGTTTACTTTGTTGTGATAATGAGTTAATTAATCATTAATTTTAATTGTAATAAATGGAAACAAATTAAAAGCAGTTTTATTCGAAAGTATATGAAGAAATGAATAAATTAAAGTAATAACTTTGATTGAAGATATTATAATATATATATATTATTATTACAAATTATGCTTATGTATGTTACTCAATACAATTTAAAAATAAACTAGAATTAACTTTAAGGTTAATTATTATAAAATCATGGCTAATTAG